TGAATAAATTAATTACAAAAATTACTATAAATTACTATTTTTTTTTACATATTTCGATACGTTGATGTGAAAGAACTCATTTTAGTTAACCTATGGAATTGGTTGTAAAATGACACGTGTTTGTTTATTCAAATGCAATTATTGTTTTTGTGTGAAGCAAATAATTTTCATTTCCCCCCATGGATCAGTGTTGTAAGTTGTAAAAACATGGAAACAAAGTAGGTCAATCACCGAATACTCATGGCAGTTACCTTGCTAAATGAATAACCAATCTCACCTTTTGTGGGAATGTGGAGCTACAGTGAAGCAATAGGGATCTATATTCTTAGGAAAATCATAGATATCATCTCTATCTGGGACTGCAAAGCAAATAACTTGGACTTGGGTGGACATATGGTTCGACAGAACATGAGTGGAAGATACCTTGAATAAAACAAACATTACATTCACAAAATTACTTCAATTTCATACTCCACCTTCAACAATCTGATTTCATTTAAAATAGAGCTGGTAACTGATATCATGCAAATATGAAGATCACATTTAACCGATGTCTTTATTGATCCTTCCAAAGGAATGGTACCTGTTATCTTTGGCATGTAAAAGGTTTGACTCCAATCAGATTTGGCGAGCTGAAGAGGCTCAGAAAAGCACCAAGAGCCCCCAGTGCATATACCTAGGTTGAAATTTTCCTGCAAGAAGCATATATAATAGAGAACATTAGTTTAAATTACCCGAGATAATCTTTTATGAGTCTAAATGAGTTTATTTTAAATGTATCGTTTTCAATTCATAATCTACATTTGAAAAGAAGCAAACCTCTAATTTTGGTGGTGCCACTATCCCGTGATGCTGTATTCTACAAAGTTCAGTACCATTCAGCATAATGGATATCGGTACTCCTAAATTGTTTACAGTGAGACACCAAGGCAGAAGTTCTACCAACAAGGAACATGAATATTCACAAGCATTCCCATATTTAACCTGAAATAGATTATTTTAGTGTGAGTATAAATGAGAAAAGTACAACAAAAATGAAAAATGTATAAGAAAATTGAAAATTATTATTTTAAATATTCACAAGCATTCCCATATTTAACCTGAAATAGATTATTTTAGTGTGAGTATAAATGAGAAAAATACAACAAAAATGAAAAATGTATAAGAAAATTGAAAATTATTATTTTAAATATTTACAATGGTCTGGTTGAAGTCGTCAGAATATAAAAAAAAATAATTTGTGATTTATTTATTTTTCCCTTTTATACTGTTCTACCATACCTGAACATGTGTCAAAGGTTGATCTTCAATCACCCAATCAATACCTTCTAAATCTTCTCCGAAATATGGCCATTTTGAATCATTGAAGTTACTCAAAACTTCCAATATTCCATCTATGTTTTCATTTTCTGACTTTTTGAAAAACTTCTGCTGATCCACCAGACTATAGTTGAGGGGAACATACGGATTTGATGATGAGTCTTTGTTGCTGAAAAATAAATAAGTCAAAAGGTAAAATAATTTAGTAGTAACTTTAAAAACATAAGAAACACACATGTTTATAGAGAGAATTAAGATGATAACAAATAATACACAGTGAAACTTGATGAAATACTAAAGTATTTCCTAGTGTTTGTGATCTTTACATATTCAGGCAGGTAAATTGTTATTCTGCTGAAAAATAATAAATTCTCACCTACTTTGATTTTCAATTGAAGAGTTTTTATATAGTTTGATTTTCTTGTGAGGTAGTCATGGCAAACAGAATTGACGGTATAAGATATGTTTGAAATATAATTTTTATATTTTGTCAATATATTTTTTTGTGAATATACATTCCCGTGCTAGCAATCACAAGTTGAATGGTAATATCACGTTAATCCTCAGCTCGTACAAGTTGTCTTTCGTAGGAGAGCGACAACTGGTTATTGGAAAAACAGAATTCAATAGAATTTATCACTTCCTTTTGTGAAATTTTCAAGGATTTCAAAATCGATTTTGCAATAATGCCACAAACAGGAAACAAATATTGAAGTTTTGAATAAATGAAATTTAAAAAATTTCAAATATTTCAACGATAAGAAAGATTTCTACTTATTTAAAATTCCTTTGACTGTTGATATTTTCTTTCTCATATTTTGAATATGTGTACTCTATGACATAGTTCGATCAATACATAAATCTAAAAATTTTCATTTTTTTTGCATATCTAATACCGCAATTATTATAAATAGAAAATGTATTTGTGTCATCAGGCGTTAGTCTTTTGTAAATATGCATATAACTACATACAGGTAACCAACAAATACTAATTGTAATAAAAAATCACTTTGATGAAATATTTACACCAATGGACAAAAAAATTAATACTTACTCAATTTGAAAGGTTATTTGGTGAGAATGGTCGATAGTTCCTGGACAATACAGCTGTTGCAATATTCCCTTGCCCTTCACAACGGAATCAAGATGGACATTCAGAGTTGGGGTTTCAATATGAATTTTTGAATTGACAGGAAGATTCGATCTTACGGTGAAAAGAGGCCAGAGCATAGCTAGCATTCTCTTAGTTTTTTTGATGTCTTGTACGATGATACGACACCAAATGCTCAAAAACTGACCTCGTTCTTGCAATGGTACTGAAAAAAATGTGGCCCATGTTCAACTTATTCAAATTATGTCTATATATTTTTTACCTTTCACTAGCCATGGTTGAGACCCAGCTGAATGTTCTCTCAATGGAATATCACCAGTCCAAGCTGATTCAAGGCCATAAAATCGCAATCGCAAGAAGTACTTCTTCTTATTGTTGATAAAAATAGAACAAGTAGAATTTCTTCCCGAAACTATATGAGTGGGTGTGTTCTTGAACACAGCTTCCTTGTTTTCGGTAACAGCTTCCATAACTTTTAATTCGAAATTTTCCATTAGCATATTACTTACAACCAATTGCCCAGAAATTGTCACCTTTTTTTGAGTAGCTGATAATTCTTCAACATTAATGAACATGGAAACATTTTTTTCCGAATTGAATTGTATTGTTTGCATACCATCCTCGAAAATTGTGAAAGAATTAGACCACACCCACTCGTTTTCCTCCAAGGCGACCTTCAACTGCTGCTTTTTCTTATGTGACCTCCAACTGTACATATGAAATTGTCTGGGCGAAAGCAGAATGTCTTCGTCAGTAGATGTTTGTCCAAATCTCAAGTTCGAATTTGTGTTATTGCAAATAACAAAACGTGTCATTATGATAAAATCTCTGTCCTTATCATTTGTTTTGTAAGTTTCGTCCCATAATTGACTTGCTATGGCCAGAGTGTGAGCTATACTTGGTCCAAATTTAACCTTGAAATTAAAATTTATTCATGTAGGTATTATAAATAAGTGCAGATATTTCAAAGGTACAAAAAAATTTGAGAGAAGTACCCGGGATAATAGAGTCGGTGCAAAAATTTGCCAAAAAAATATCTTCATCTAAAATAGGGGTCTGCAAACTTTGATGCCTTCGGGCCATAATGATATTTTCAGTTTGTTTCAAGGGCCAATTTCTGCCCTTAACTATATTTCTAGACTAGGATAGTCGCAAAGTGCGTGACCTGAGCAAACTTACGCTGACGGATATTGGCTTCT